ACTCAAAGACTATTATACGACAATGGATGAAAATGAAATAAGCAATTCATTTTCAGAGTGGCCATCTATTCAGTGCCCCCACACTGAATTGTTAAACTAATGTAATAGTGGTGACAATAGAGAAACTATCATTCTGTCTGATGAACTCTATCCAATCATCTCCCCACCAAAACAACATCCTGTCAGCGTAGATGACATAAAACAGCACTGTGAMAGAATTAAACGGAGGCTTTGTGTTGAAGAAAATGAAATACAAAGCATTGAACGGGAAACTAGAGGTCAATCTACTTCTTCAAAGTGGTTTGAGCATAGATTTGGAAKGGTTACAGCTTCGAAGTGTCACCGTATATCTTGTAAACACAGAGCTAGTACATCTCCCACTAAAATTKTGAAAKATATTTTGAACTATGATAATCACTTTCAATCAGATGCTATGAAAGAAGRACTAAAAAATGAACACTTGGCCTTATCCATGTATGRAGCAAAAATGAAGAATACTGGAAATGCTGGATTCAACGTTCAAAATTGTGGATTTTTTGTATCAAAAGACAATGGGATAGTTGGTGCCTCTCCTGATGGCCTTGTTACAGCCATCCATCCCATTGGTTAAAACATGAAAATCTGCTATAATTTCACAAGTTAGCGAATTTTCTAATATTTTATTTGATRTCTGTTTTCGCTTTCATGAAAGCTTTCTTTAGCTTTAATATTAAGGTAATTCTGCGTGGGGAATATAGCAAATTAGAAGTATCTTTTGGCTATTGTTTTGAGTGCTTATGATTGGATAAGAGCTTTTAATACAAAAGAAACTTTGTTTCAAAATAGAGTTTATCATATCAGTCCGTAGCAATATTTTGTTTTTTAACAAAGCAAAAATTAGCTTTCATGTTATGTAAAAACCGACACGATTTTCTTCACTAGTGAAAAAAATCGTACGATCAATAAGGAGCGTTCTAACTTGTGAAGGGACGATTTTTATCCGATGAATTTTTGGTGCGTAAATCTCTGTATGTATATAATAAATAGAGGTTATTACATGGGCGCGCGGAGATACGAATTTTATCTTCTCGTGTTGAAAATCTCTCACTCATTCGCGTAAAGCGAATATGTAATATACTATTTATTATATAATTGTATGCAGTGAAAGCAAATAATGTCTTAAAATAGCTTTTTTCTTACTTCCACTATGTAGAGAAACCTCGAATATGTTATTTTCACTAAAATGACATGTTATGTTTTGGAGGTAAATAAAAGTTATTTTACGCTCATGATAATATAAAAACATGCCAGCTTATTTAGACGTTCTCTATGCTTTCTTTTGTGATGATTGTCTGGTTTGGGTTTGTAGACTGTGGCTTCTAGTTTGGTTTGCTGAGTGTTTTGAAAGTTTCTTGCGATCTTTCGCAGAGGCGTACCGCGTGTGTGTGTGTTCGTTTTTTTTTTTTGTGCTTTTTGCTGCGCGTGATTTGTTACTTGAGAATTGTTTCCCTATAGTTTTTGTGTCTAGTGCCTCGGAACGAGGCTCAAGGCACTACGCTGCCGCCTTGTAAGTGGGTGTGGCTGTACTTCGGGATAATTTCGTGACTGGCCCGCATTTACCCCAGTACATTTTCGTTATTCTTCGGATACATTCGTAATTTTCCGTGATAGTTGGGCTTCCAGTGTAATTACGTTAAWATTTGTGATGACGTCACAACTAATCCTGCTACCCCTCCCTCATAAGCATCTATGACTTACCTAACCACCTCTCCCTCGCTACCCTCTTGTCCGCGCGGACATATATCCCGATACTCATTCGGGCGCGCATGCAAATACAAGGAAATAAATGACTTTTCGTCCATGTTGGATGTTATGTAAAATCACTTTCTTCTTTCTATTAAGAACTCTAGTCTATAAATTATCAAAATACATTCTTAGATAGAATTTACTTGATCTATAATTATAAATTGTACTAATTATTTAAATTTTGAGTTTTTATACAAACTAGACAATAAAAGACCCAATATATGGAATGTGAATAATAATAGCTGACTAACATGTGCTTACATCAATATACGATCTTAGTGTATTTTTGTACTCTTATTGACTCTCCATCATTGTCATTGTTGATAAAACAAAATTGAAAAGTATTTTCGATTGCATAGCAGTTTTGAAGGGTATTCATGAAAAATGTATACAATCGTCAGCGTGCATTTCAAGAATATAACCGAAAATTACTGTTTTTAATTGTTTACACTTTAAATCTTTTTTTTACGGGCGCTCATAGCAATGCCTTTAAACAATATATAAATCTTCATGTTTTTTTAGATCAAAAGTCCAGGAGAATATTCCATTGGCGCTTCTTGCMGTCATGGCTGTGAAGTATGGTGGAAGAGAATGCAAGAACCAGGCCTTGATGATTATGGGACATCTGGAGATATGATTATCAAACTGGCATCAACCATACKACCAAATAAYTACGAAAGGTAAAAGTAATGAATTCGTTACAAGACCGTACATCTGTAGAAACTRAAAATACTTCCTGATGTTAGCTTTTTACGGTATTGAATGTATCTTATGCATTTCTCCATGAAGTTACATGAAATCATCCTACTAGTGTGCTTAAAGCATTAAAGGCCCACCGTCATTCGAGATCCTTTGCGCGCCATGTTTGAATTTCGTGTAACAAGAAATTATGAAAATTTAGGGTSAGTATTTCAATCCTGATTTATCCAAGCAATCCTTTGTTTTTCTAACGAGTTTTTGTTATTAATCAATCAACTGCATATTAATTTGTGTATTTCAAGTAATATTTTTTTTCTAAAAAATGAAAAAAGAACATTAAATAGGATTGTGAATATTTTGTATATCAAGATGGCGGTATGACCAATTCGACGGCCTGGAAGACCGAAGCTCCCAGGTTCCCTAAAAAAACATCCGATTACGGGACTCGGTGTTCCGTGTTTGGAGAGATACAAAAGAGACCCTGGGCTTTGAAAAGAGCTCAGATAGCGAGTTTGCAGAACATTTGCTTCAGCGAATGTGAGCTGGACATGGTATCGCCGTTTGTTAGACATTTTGCGCCTTCCGGCTTCGGGTACCGGCCGAATCTGTTGTATTTTGAGACATTGATAGTTTCTAGTCGGTTTTTGTAGTCCACATTTTCTTGTTTATCGATCATATTAAACAACTTTACTTTGTACTTCTCATTCAGAACCAATATTGCCTCCCCAACAGACCTTTAGAGCATAAAACAAAGCTTTCATTTTGAAAACAAAATCCGATAACTCGGGTATAAGTTGGCCGTGAATTTCAACTTATACCTCAGAAGAGCTGGACTGAGCTTGAGTCTTCTAAATATGACCCATAAGCGTTTACATTAATTACCGTCCCTTGATTTTCTTGCTCCATGCTCGTTGAAGAAAATTCGGCTTCAATAAAAAAATTTTCCCGGCTACTTTGACAAGTGAACGCGAGCGCAAGCCTCGACAGCATGACAATCAAATGATAAATTGCATTGAGATCTTTTCTAACCGCTCTTTAATTAGTCACACCACATAATTCTCAGTCAAAATTTCAATTCTAGAWGTCCAACGTGTCCGCTCCTTATACGAGCGGAAGCTTGTCGTTGTATCACGAATTCGAAGTTTTAAACGAAATAATTTTGACATTTTCTGCTCTAAACAAGTAACAGAAATTTCGTTTTAATGATTTGCATTTAAAATTTATAAATGACTTGAAGTGAATAAACTGAAGATTGTCATGCTGAGTGTTGCAATGTAGCTAACTGTGAGTCCCTACCTGTGGAGTTTAAACGTTTGCTTTTACATATTTGTAAATTCTTACCTTAATTCTTAATGACTTGAGTAGTCGGGATAACAAAACTTTAATATTTCTTTAAATTTTAAAGATAAAAATTATTAGGTCGATATGTATGATGAAACGGAATAAGCTAACTAAGTTAACTTACCTGATGTAAAACTTTGAAAAAATAAATTCCTGTTCAAAGAGCCAATAGATTTAACAACAATCGTATCATATGTAAAAGATTATTACTAAAAAACGTCAAAAATCTCGACTAGAAGAACGATTTTCGGTAAGAATCACAGTTGTGTGGACGCCATTTTGTTTTTGTCATTCGCTCGACCTTTAATGSGTTGTCAAGACAACCTCGAGCYCAGACTCCTAAACAGAGTAACAACGCTGGGGGTCAAAATGCAATGGCGAACCGTGCCTTAGAGTAGCTGAGCACATTTTTCTTTTTTTCTTCTTGTTCTTTAAAAGAAAAAAATATGAATAGAACAACACATATGGAATTTATGGGGGACAAATAGTCCCTGGGTGATTGATTTGCGACCAGGCCTGCATATGAATTCGCCAAGGTTGTAAGCCAGTGAGCCCGTGCATTTTTGTTAAGCGGTCATATTTGAAAGTGTAAATAAAGGAAAGGGAAAACCCGCAGCTCTCCTTTCACTNAAAAACCCAATTTTTCTCTTAATTGGGGCAGCAATAACCCAAAAATGGGATTTTCCTGGGAATTATTGAGCCACACCAAAACCCAATGTAGTTCTTAATAGGGCAGCAATAACCCAAAAGTGGGATTTTCATGGGAATTATTGAGCCACACAAAAACCTAATTTAATTCTTAATTGGGGCAGCAATAACCCAAAGGTGACCCCAAAATAACCCCAAAATGGGATTGTCATGGGAACTATTTAGCCACAGAAAAACCCAATTTTTCTCTAAATTGGGGCAGCAATAACCCTAAAATGGGATTGTCATGGGAACTATTGAGCCACACAAAAACCCAATTTTGGTTTGAATTGGGACAGTAATAACCCAAAAGTGGGTATTTTATTTTTTTAATTTAAAAATTGGGAATTAATTGTCCACARATTGGATTTGATAGCACTTTTCCAATATTGGGAATTTCCAACGGAAACCCAATGATATCCCAACAAGACTACAATTGTTTCACAAAATAGGGATTTCAGAATTTTTTCCTGTGATTATTTTACATGTTATGGGGCAGGAGCTACCAAATCCTCTGTCCCTGTGCGACAGAATTGTCTTATTTCTTTATGCAAATACCGCCTTCTGTCCATGTCAAGGCCTTTGGGAGTAATCATTTCTGGAAGTTGGTGTGGCGGTATTACTGAAAGGTTTTTCAATAACTGGAATTCTATCTCAGGAGAATTGATGAGCTTTTGACAGAAAACAACTCCTTGATGCTGTTTTTCTTAAAATATGTCTCCAAAAACGAAACCCAGTCATATACAGGGACTAGTATTGTACCATCAAGCAAACCACATAATTTTAATACATTTACCCCAGTATTAGTAGACTTATCAACTGCCTCTAGCAAATCAAAAAGAGAGGACACATAGCGTCGCCTGAATGATTGCTTAAGCAAACCAAAACATCAATCAGGACTAAATTTAGTGTGTCCTGTAATTAAGAAAGAATAAATTATTGACTGATGCAGGTCACACAGAATTCTCCAACAATAATACCAAATAACATASTTATTTTTGTTTTGCCCGCCACAGTTATCAGCATGAATTTGAACATCTGTYTCCCYAACTCCRTGTGATTTAAAGAAATCATGAACATAGCTAATAACTGTGTTGGCTCCTTTGCCTGAATCAACTGATTCATCAATGAGATAATTAACTTGTCTTGGYATTCCTTYGCAACATATACCAAACAGGCCRCATTTTCGTGGAGTTTTAAAATAAATCGGTCCAGGTTGTTGGGGATTGGAAGGAATGTGAACCTTTTGAGCATAGTTGTACGAATAGTGCACAGTTCCCTGGAAAGAACAGCTTTCACTCGGGGTTAAAAGGTTGGAATGACAATCTTTCAATGTCACTTAACATTCGGATATACATCTTTTCATGCATTCTCGCTCAGCCGGGGCTTCGTTAAAATGATTTTGCTGTTTGTCGAGGTACTCCSTCTTTTCTTGATCGCCAATATTAACTGATGTGGATATCTTTGTGTTGTTCATTTGGCAAGTATGGCAGAGATCTGTGGCTGGAGTCATGATTATGATATAGGGAGTAAATGTGTTCCAAATATCAACAAATTTTGAGTAGCTCACAGCAGCAAAATGTGCTTCATCAGCAGGAGTTTTATATTTTCGCCAGACAGATGATTTGGTATCGGACGATGGCAACAGTTGCACTTTCATGTTTTTAAACTGCTGCACTTTCATGTTTTTAAACTGCTGCACTCTACCAGGGAGTGCAACTCCTTGTTCAGCTCCAAACTTTTTAATTTTTTGTTGTTCTAGTTAGTATCTCATGGGAAAGCACATTATGTGGCAAACGGGAGTCTATGTTCAAACATCACTTCAAAACTGAAAAATTGGCTACATGGCCCTTTGTTTTTTCCATAAGTACATCCACAACTGGAGTCTATAAAATCAGTGATTTCACTCTGCATGTCATCAGTCTCTTCAATCTCCTCTATAGCTTCGGCAGGAATATTTTGATTTTGATTTTCAGTTTCATGTTGATCTCCAAATTGTTCTGTCAGAGTCTGATTCATCACTGCTACTACCGCCAGAAATAGTGTCTTCTCTATCTCTGGCACGTGTMCAAAAATACTCTTGACGAACTTCATCCAGATTTTTGTTAAAATCACTATCCCCCTGCAACCCGCAATCGTCTAAAAAATGGCTGTCCATGTTGTATTATCTGTTATATGTGTTGCATGTTCTCGCCGCCTTAAAAACCGGATATCATGGGAATACACAAAAATTCAAAACTAAGTCATTATCTGTTGTACGTGTTGCATGGGTCTCACCTTGTGTATGCGAAAACCGGATATGGTGTAATGTTATAGCTACTMATGAAAATATACAAAAATTCAAAAGTATAAGTCACGACAAGCAGTTGAGACCAACTATCAGATCAATACCTCCCTCTCCTTGAAGTCGGAAGAAAAACGGTCCGTGCTCAACAATGTGAAAATAAAATGACACGGGAATTATTAGTGCACTTTAGATCCGGTAATGTACAAAAAGTTGAGCTTTGAAGTTGATTAACGCGCAATTCTCGACTTGAGTAATATGGCACGATCAATAAATCAAAGCATCTCTGCTCTGGAAAGGCAAGCGCTATATTTTGCAACCAAAATAAAAACTCGTAAAAGAAGTCTGAAATGGAATGAAGAATAGAGTTGACTTCACACCGTTATAAGGGTATTGTGTTTCACATGCCTGAAATCAATGGTACAAGTAAGGTCTTGTGTAGGATATAATAATAAAATAATGTGTTATCAGCCTTTGAATTTACATGAGACACCAACATGGCGGCTCCATACTTATTTACCACAAGTTACCAAATATCGCGTGACTGTTAAAGACTTTTAAGAGCTCCAGTACATTTTACAGCAAATAGCTCTACTTCAACAAGATTCTGCTCTTAAGTCTGTGTATGCCAAACTTTGATGCTCATATAAACGAWTTTTTACTAAGATATTGGAGAGTATAAATCAATAAATCAATGATAAGAATGACTAAGAATGTAATGCCCATTTTACACGGTATCAGAACAAAATTTGCATGTTACAGGAAATTACTCTCACGAATTAGAATGACATTTCATGATAATATTACCACACVTATTCACAAACTGAGAGTGCCCACTAGCTGGCTCATTCAGACAGAATGGCAAATCACCKCAACATGACCAATGAAGAAATAAGGGAACAACTCAGAGCAACGATCAAGGCTGGAGATGAGGCTATAGAGGCGATTTGGAAGTTTTACAAAAAATTTATGTCCTCAGTCCTCAGCCGCGGCAGGGATACTCACAGAAATACGGGCACCCTTTGATCATATTTGTCAAGGCAAGTGAAGTAAAGAACTCAATTTCTTAAGCAAAATCATTTATATCAAATAATGWTGAATGTTAGAACTCGTTGCACTTTTGATAGATTTTAGACTTCTCACTAAATCGTTTACATGACTAGATAATGTGATAGATAACTTACAAGAGATTGACACAGACRCTGTTCARAAAATGGAGAAGTTCGGGATTGGAAATATAGAGAAGGAATTGAATTCAAGAAGCAGATGAAGCCTTAGCTTCTGAACATATGTGCATTTATTATATAACATATGGTGTGATACCGAGTGGTATCAACTAGATAAAAACCCTATCCCAACCGTGTAGATATCATTGATATCACACATGTGTGACATCACTCTCATCCAATGAGCTTTCAGTAATTTCGCGCGCTGCCACATGAATCCGCTCTCTCAACTACTACGACAACGGACGACAACACGACAACACTACCAGCCACCGGTAAAAAGTCCAACTATCTAAAACTATGGCCTCTAGATTTGTTGATGTGACAGATGAAGAGCTGAACGAGTTTCTAGATTCGAAAGAAAATGTCAACACTAAGAGAAAAACATCCTATGATGTGGAGCTTTTCAAAACATTCATTCGTGAAAATCATCAAGATCAAATGCATGATCAACCCAGCATGATTCACGAGCTTGAACCAAAGGTTTTGAACGAGCTTCTTTGCAAGTTTCTATATGGAGTCAGAAAAAAAGACGGTACAGAATACGAGCCATCGACTCTAAGAGGATTTCTGTCAAGCATTCAAAGACATTTGGACAAACATAACTACGGTTTGACAATTCTCAACGATCCACAATTCAAAGGTGCAATGGCTACTCTTAAGGCAAAACAAAAAGACCTAAAGGNAGGTATAGCATAGACCAGAGACAAGGGGACAACTAGGGGATGTCCAGGGGATCCCTAGGGGACAAGGGGACGGGAGAGACAGTTGAGACACGGAGGTATATCATATACCAGGGAGAAGGGGACAACTAGGGGATGTCCAGGGGATCTCTAGGGGACAAGGGGATGGGAGAGACACTCAAGACACGGAGGTATAGCATAGACCAGGGACAAGGGGACTACTAGGGGATGTCCAATGTATCCCTAGGGGACAAGGGGTAGGGAGAGACACTTGGTACACTAGGGGATGTCCAGTACATGTGAGTAGTCCTTAGAKGACAGCCAGGACAGCAAGTGGGGATAGGGGACAGTTTAGGCCAGTACTGGACATCCCTAACTTGTCTGATTTTTTGATGACAGTTCCTTTAGGTAGTAGTTTGATCGGCAAAATATTACAAGAGGCTCCTGAGTCAACTAGCATCTTGACTCTCTGTTTTTCAATCATCATTGTTGCGAAAACTCTGTTGTTTCTTTTACCTTGTTTAATTGCGTTTATGTCAGTGTGGGTGAGAGCTAATACTTCATCATCACTTGAGTATTCATCACTCAAGGCATTGACTTGTTTTGGTCTAGGCTTGTGTCTTCTTGATTTAGACAATTTGCATTTAATTGCAAAATGATTTTCTTTATTGCAGTTTTTGCATATTTTTCCATAAGCAGGACATTACTCTCTCTTTTTGTCGTGATTTTGACCGCAAAATCTACAGTCCTTGATCATATCTGACTTGTGGTCTTTGTGYTGTCGCGGATTTGTAGATTTCACTGTCGACTTCGATRCAAAGTTAACTTCTGGGGGTGGGGGTGCGGTGTTACTTGTCATGACTTTGAATTTGCGATGTTGTTGCTTCTGCTGAGCGGCATATGTTCATACACTTATCAAGCGTAAGTTCAGGCATTTGTAGTAGTTTCTTTCTAATATCGTYGTCGCGGAGACCATAAACTATTCTGTCTCTAATTAATTCATCTTTGAGGGCGCCAAAGTTACACGTTTCGGCGAGCGATCTCAACACAGATGCGTAAGTTTCAATGGATTCTTGATCTTTTTGGTCGCGTGTATTAAAAGCGTAGCGTTCATCAGTTATATTCTGCTTACCGAGGCAATAGCTTTCCAACAGATCCAGGATTTTCGTCATACTTTGTTTTTCGGCGTCGTCTTTGGATGCCAAGCCGTTGTGAATTGCGAGTGCTTCTTGACCAATACATRTTATGAATGTGGCGACTCTGTATTCATCAGATTGCTCTTTTAGCTTCGGGACAAGCTCGTAAGCGTTCCATATTTGTTTCCACTGTTTCCAGTTGGCGGATAGATTGCCTTTTAAGTTGATCTTTGGCGGTGTCGGGACATTGCTTGTAAAAATGGCGTTTGCTCGAATGGCGGCGTTTTCGTCTGAGTTGGGCATTTCGACTCAGTTGTATTCCGACTTGATTTGGATTTCACTTTGAAGAATCTTCCTGATNTATGGAGTCAGAAAAAAAGACGGTACAGAATACGAGCCATCGACTCTAAGAGGATTTCTGTCAAGCATTCAAAGACATTTGGACAAACATAACTACGGTTTGACAATTCTCAACGATCCACAATTCAAAGGTGCAATGGCTACTCTTAAGGCAAAACAAAAAGACCTAAAGGTGAAAGGATTTGGGAATAAACCAATGACATCCGAACATTTAACTGAAAGTGAAATCGAAAAACTTTATGGAGAATAGAAAGAATAGAAAGTGCTCAATCGTTAACAAACACTCTCTGGCTTTTTACGATGATTCGCTTTGGCTTGCGAGGCGGCAAAGAACAACGCAATTTACTTTGGGGAGATGTCGTCCTAAAGAAAAATACAGATGGAAAAGAGTATTTAGAATACTCTATTGAGCGACAAACGAAAACAAGGACTGGTTCTGACTCAAGGGATACGCGAAAGATCAAAATGTATGAAAAGCCTGAACTACCTCCAGATAGAGATCCGGTTAGTGTTTACAAGATTTACGCGAGCAAGCGTCCAGAAACTATGAACTCAAATGGCTCTCCGTTCTACTTGGCAGTCAATAATGTACAGTCATTTTCTCTTTCAATTCGACCTTGGTTTAAAGCGAAGCCAATTGGAATAAACAAACTCAATAGAATCTTGAAAGATATGGTAAATGCTGCTCATCTTRAAAATAAACRCTTRAYTAACCACAGTGCAAGGAAGCATCTCGTTCAGAAATTAAACGACAACCAAGTTCCACCTACASAGATAATGCAAATTACTGGACATCGTAATGTTWATTCTGTAAACAACTATTCKTCCTTATCAGAAAAACAGCAGGAAGATATATCGTCAATTTTGTCATTCAGTAGTACTAGTACAGATGATAATCCAGGTCAACTCGCTTCAACAAGCACTGAGAACACGGCTACAGAGGAATACCAAAGCTCACAAAGTTGCCGTAGCCTCGAATCATCTTCTCAGATGCCCTTGACAGGACTAGGATCGCTAATAACTGGTACAATTGTTGGAGGAACATTTACTTTTAACATAAATGTCCAGCAAAATGCTCAAGAGAGACATGAAACTCAACAAGAAAGCCGATTGAAGAGAGTTTAAGCGTATCAGAGTAGTAAACAGCAGCGACGAAAGCCAATAGCCGCTTGCCTAGCTGTTGTGGTATGTTTGAAAACTTTGTTTATAATGAATTACTTTATGACTTTGAGAAAATTGCTAGAATTTCACAGGCGATGCATTTGTAAGCATTTTAATTATATTGAATTTAACAATATTTGTATTAACTTAACTTATAAGTTACGTATTTCAAAAAAACTTTTATCATTAATTTACTTTGTATAACTATCGCTTGCAANCTTGACTAACCACAGTGCAAGGAAGC